AAACAATGCAACCGGTACCTAGCACCGGTTGGCGTTCGACTGAGAATACTGAGGCGTCGCCGGTGAGCGAGACGCCTCTGGAGCATTGCCCGAGTCAGACACGTCTGACTCGCCAGAGTAGATGACCTCCACATCGGGGTCATCGTGCGCACGCGGCGTGATACCGCGTGCACCTGCAGCACCGGTTGCTGCAGGCGAAGAAGGGGCGGCAGACGACGAAGCGTCTGCCGCAGAGGCTTGCACAGCACCAGGCTGTGTGGGTCTTGAGTCACCTCGCATAGACATGTTAACTATGCGAGGTCAAGCGGAAAGTGAGTGGAACGGACCAAACAAGTGCTCCCTGTCCCAATGGTGGCCAATGGGTGGCCTCCATATTTTCGATAGTCACACGGTGACTATCAGTTAAGGGGGGGGTGATGTAACGGGGCAGCCCGTTACATGAAATTGTCACTTTGAGGAAAGTGACAATAAAGAATATACAGATGTATATTCTTTAAAAAATATCACCAAAGTGGTGATATTGAAGGGTCGACCAAAGGGTCTGTTCATTGGTTGATATCGTGATGATATCAACCCACCAATCGCCGCAAGACGCGCGCAATGAGTGGTGACGAGACGTCACCATACATCCAGTTATATTAGTATAGTTAAACTAAGTCAAACGAAGAGACAGTAGTTTAAAGACTTAATTATATTAATATAACAGTTCTACTTTCACCCTACCTACGCTTCCTCGCTTGCCACGTGTACGTCCGTCGGGGCACCCAAATCCCTTGCGTTAAGTTACGCAAGGGTGTGCCCCGTTACAGTTGCGCTGCAGCAGAATCTTTAGCACCTCCGCTGCTCCACAAATCAAGTTGACCGAGAGCCAATGCGGTGCCAATGAGTACAACAGCGACTATCCACAGCGCGTGACTGAATTTGGACGTTTTTTTCAGCTGCATCGGAAGCTGCTTGGAAACAGCTTTGCTCTCGATTGCCTCGGTCTTACTAAGCAGACGGCCATCCTGGCGAATTTTCTCGTCCTTCTTCTGCTCTGCCACTATTTCCTTCAGCACCGTCATGGCTTTACGGATAATTCCATCCGTTGGGTGGTGCGTTGCAGCTCGAGTGGGCTTATCCTTAGCTTCCTCGGGCACGGGATAATACGTACCGCGTGCAGTATTTGTGGAATTACAGCTAACGTTTGTGACGAGGTACGATCCGAAACATTAAATAGGAAATCCTTATTATCATTTTAGGAGGACGGGTGTGCCCCTAGCAAAAATGGGGTGTGTCCCTAGCAAAAATGGGGTGTGCCCCTAGTCGTGGCCAAAAGAATATTGTGATAAATATAGCTGTTGTAATATCAATACATACTGATATTGCTTAGACGACCTAAAGGGTCTACTCATTTGTTGATGTTGTGATTATATCATACCCACCAGTCGCTGCTAGACGCGCGCAACGGGTGGTGAGTCGACGTTGTCATCGATTTGGTGATGCTTAATTAATCCGGTCAGGTCAAAACAAAGAACAAGAGATATTGGAACTAATTATGATCAATAACTGCTTTTCTTTTGCCATGACCAAAGTCCTAATCTTAGTCGTTTACCCTTACTCTGTGCAGTGTATAGAGGAATCAGGGCACTGACCTTCACTATTGCCAGTGAGGGTTGGCCTCACACTGGTAGTCGACTACGTAGCTGCTGGCTGACCCTTACCATCTTGACTTGGCTCTGGCATGGGGACTTCCGACTTATGATTGCTATAGTCCAATGACACGCTCATAGGGATTCTCTTCATGGGACAGGAACTCGCGATCAGCAAACGAAGTGGCAATAAGGAGGCGGATTCGTAGGGGTAGTATCTGCTTGCACCGTGGGTGGGGGAGGTCGAGCGGCGTCGACGAGGTCCCCAACGCAGGATACCGGCGATAAAGCTTACCTTTCAGGATCACGTTGCATTACGTCTCGTAGATATGGTAGCACAGAATACGCCTTCCTCATTTAACCCTATCTCTACAACAGGGGATGTAGCGGAGCTACTAAAGCTCTTTGTCGGAGGAACGCTTTCTGCTCCACGAGCAATTTGGGTCTATAGAAGACACGACTACGAGCCAACAAGCTCAAAAGCTTGGGGCCCTTGTTCAAGGGAACAAATGTTTCAACGAATCGGCTGCACAACGTACTAAAAATATACGCCTTTACAACGCTTGACGCTTCTTACACGACCTGAGACGCCACAACAAGGCACGTGTTTCTATCAGATATATACGAGATCTTAACTTTATTTTGTTGTATCTGTACAAGGCACATTAACCTAAACGTACCTAATCTAGACACTAATGCTCTATCTTGGTACCCTTTGAAGATCTCTTATGTGGTGGCTAACACACGTCAGACCCGACAAGGCGCGTTCGAATTGGGCAAAATTAATTGGTCATTGGACCGGTGAAACTGCGGCAGACCGATTTGGTACTTGTCAATATCTCGGCAATGCCAATCGTCAGGCCCCAGCTATCTCACCACAAATGAGACAACGGTTGCTTAGACGGTTCATGGAAGACGCAGAGGCTGAAATCCGCGTCTGGAAACGGATTTGGTTTCTCATGAGTACCATGTGCCTCACCCACTTATGGCAGGAGCGAAACGATGCGGTGTTCAGGGGAGTCCTGACTACGACATCGCATAGTGTTACTCGTTTTTGGGAGTCAGGGATACGTCAACTCCTTGCGCTGGCCAAACGCGAACATTGCGGTATCAGTACTGTCGTCCAAGGGGCTCTCTTGCACGCCGGCATCGAACTTTTTACCCAAGTACCTCGAGACATCGAGTCTTCTCTGGGTCTTCGTCACGAAACTCTTCCGGATCCGGACTTGATTTCCTGGCTCAGGAGCTTTCAGACATCTTGTACATATTCACGTGTTAATAGACCGTCATGAAATCTCTCTCACACGTCAGACCCGACAAACTGATACGGTCTTCTAGTATCAAAATTAATGGGAGCTCATCCTAGGTGTGTACCACACATGTTACACGGCTATCCACCGACGTGTAATCCCCGTTACAGTTGACGTCCCGTTGTGGTAAGAGGGCCCTCTTACCTTCGACGAGACGACCCCTGTCTAGACAGAGACGAGGACCTCCGCAAAGCCAGGTCAAAACTGGTTGTGCGGAGGTCCTCGTCTATGTCCGATGTTGCTAGAAAAGCCCGAATCGGGAAGTGAGTGTTACTAGACCATGCACGGCACAGCTGTGTCGTTATGCCGCAATTTTTCTCAACGACAAGAGTGAGTCGCTCGATCGTCAGCATTGTAATCCATGACACTCTCTTACTGTCGTCAAGCCGAGGAGCACAAAGTGCTACCACGCGTTCATTTCTCATTAAACTTCCCAACTCGACACTCGACCTCGTACTACTTGCCTTTGCCTCCATTGCGCACGTACAAGTGCAACAATGTTTGTGTTGTTCCGCGATACTGTCTTCGTGATCCTCATCACAGCGCTGTCGCTTGCCAATACACGAGCGACGAATTCGTACCCGATCGTGCTCGTCAGCGGATTCTTTGGCTGGGGCCGTGACGAGTTTTCGGGTTTCCGGTACTGGGGTGGCATTCAAGGGGATTTCCAGGATGAGCTCACGGCTCGAGGGTATAAGGTCTATACTGCTGCAGTCGGTCCCTTTTCAAGCAACTGGGATCGGGCTTGTGAGCTGTACGCTATTATCAAAGGCGGACAGGTCGACTATGGCAAGCAACACTCAGCGACGCACAAGCACCTTCGCTTTGGACGCAACTACACGGGCCTCTACACAAAGTGGGGCAAAGTCAACTCGGATGGCTCGGTCAACAAGGTCCACCTCATCGGACACAGTATGGGTGGCCAGACAATACGAATGTTGGCTCAGATGCTCGCGCATGGTACCACCGGTGCACCCGTCGAGGAAGATCCGTCGTCGCATCCGTTGTTCGCTGGTGGGAAGAGCTGGGTGCACTCGATAACGACTATTTCAGCGCCAAACCAAGGCACGACCCTCGCCGACGGCTTCTCAGTCATTGGTGACGAAATCAAAGACCTGGTTGCAGGTGTATATGGCATAATCGGGATCCTTGGAATCAAGGTCGAGAAGTTCTATGACATCAAACTGGATCAATGGGGGATTTCAAGTAAGCGGGCAGGCGAGACGCTGCAAGCGTACCTCGACCGCATCTTTTCCAGCACGATCTTTGATCCGAGCTTTCAAGACGCTTGTCTCTGGAGTTTGTCCACTCGTGGTGCGAAAGAAGAAGCGACGTGGGTGAAGACGCTTAGTGACGTGTACTACTACAGCTACACCACTGTGGCCACGTTCGGTGCGCGAGACTTTTTCTTTCGCAAGATCGCGCTGCCTCGTCTACTGACTGTGATGCTGTTCCTCCAACCATTATCAGTCTTTCTTGGTGGGCGGTATGCGCCTGACAGTATGGACCTCTCTACGAAGTGGCAGCCGAATGATGGCCTCGTAAACTCGATTTCGATGGCCTCCGACGGTGTCGGGAGTGTCACTACGTTCACCGATGCCGATGCGTCTCAACTGGGCACGTGGAATGTAATGCCGCAACTGAAACGATTTGACCATATTGGCATTACTGGCAACACGATACACTCGGAGGTGTTTGATGTGTACGAGAGACATGCTGCACTGTTGGCATCTCTGCCGACTACCTCTGCTGTCCCGTCGACTGCAAAATGACTCGATCGGAGCCGCTGTAAAACTCAACGCGGCCATTCGAAAGCTATCTGCAGCAACAGCAAGCGTAGAGACCAAGAGCGATCTGGAAGGTTTGTGCAAGAGTCCTAAGAACACATACACCCAGAACTACTGCACCAAGATGCTAGAGTACATGCCTACGCGTCACCTACGAGGATATCAGGCAACTGTTCCACATGAATGAAGGTGTGTCATTGCTTCCACTAGCGTGTCCAAGTGACTTGACGAGTGGACGTAGAGCCCTACTAGGCGCGGTAGAGTTTACCTAACTACAGGTACAATCCGTTGAGCTGCAAGCCACATCGTACTGCGTACGCAAAGTTTGTAAAGAGAGGAAAGTCGCACAGGTACGGCACGTTGGGGTCCACGAGATACTGATGGCCATCCAGAGACGACTCCCACAGTCTCAATTCGCACTCGACCGGCACCCACTTCGCATTCACAACTGCGATATCGCGTTTCTCATGTGGAAATCGGCGCAAGTAGACGACCAAATCGCCCACGACGGACAAGATCTTGCTCGATTCATGCAAACGGGACTGCGACACGGCGTACAGAGCTGGGGACCGTGGCATACAAGGTGCCTCGTCGTACGCCTTCTCCAGGTACGCCAAGATCGCGTCAGATTCGAACACGGTTGTACGACCCTGCGACATGCTGACCGTCGGAATCGCAACGTGTCCGACATTGCTGTCTCGTCGACATTGCTGTCTCGTCGACATTGCTCGGACCTTCACGTGTCACTGTCGTTGTTGACCTTGTTGCAGTTGCATCGATTGTTTGTCCAGCTGTTCGCTCCTCCTCGGCCTGTTGTCGTGTCGGCTCAACTGGCTCGACGAGGACCGGGATCCGCATGCGCGGATTCAGCGCGCGAAAGAACGGCGTCTTGAGCACACCACTCGAGAAGCTGATACAGACACTACGGTAGGGCAGTCGCTTCTCCTTGGGGGCAATCAAAATGCGCCAAGCTGCACGAGAGAGACACACATATGACAATAGGAAACGTTTGTTCAGACCGTGACACAGAGGACTGTCGGCCGTAACAGGACAAGCGCAGAGCCTTTCGTCGATGCACTACAAAAAAGAAAAAGAGGCGAAGTGGAGTAGTGGTATCGCACCTTGCGGACTGCCGGATCTCCACTAGACCACACGCTCGTGCGGCATCGGAGCCGACTGCATCATCCCATGATTACCGGAGACCAAGTTGTTTGCTTGCGAAGCCGTCGCCATCACGTTGGGGACGGACGGACAGACGGACGGCCAGCTGGCTCGCTGGCTGGCTCTCGGTGGGTGGGTGTGGGTGATGGGTCTTTTGGTCGGTTGTTGTGTGCACGTACACCACGGGCGACCTGCGACAACAACGCCGTCGGGTCTCTGTCCCGCTGGACTGCAAGTTCAAGCGATTCAAGTTGAGTAGACGAAGGACTATCACGTACAACCTGCCTACGAAAGGTCGCAAACTCTGCGCGATCGAACATGTACATTGTGTGGAACAGCTCTGTGGGATTACACGTTTCGACTCGTAGTCACGTGTTGTTGCAGAGTCTTGCTCTCTCTCTCGCAGAAGTCGACAACACCATAATCATTTGTCCAATGCTTTGTTCGTGGTGTAAATCATCTATAACCTGTAACATTATTCGATCTCCGGCACTCCGCTACTCCTCACCCCATACTTCGTATTACACACATCTCAGACGATAGATGGTTGAGCACGCTACCAGCTTCATTTCTTTAGTCTCGGATTCAAACTGACAAATATTTTGCGAAGTTATAGGACACTGAAGCTCAGAGAATTTTGTGCATAATGGCTCGCGACGAGCCACCTTTGGCCGCCACAAAAAACCCGGGCGTACTTATTTTACTCGATTTTTTCGAATTTTCCCTCGCAGCCTCATTTAAAGTAGATGAATCAACGCAAAAGAACCATTTTCGGTGCCTTAAAAGTGCAAAAATGACTCTTTCACCCTTTACGGCATCGTTTTGCCTGTTTATGTCTTCTATTAACTATAAAAGGACGCGTGCAATTAACCAATTCTATTGCAAAACTCGCTAATTGGCAGCAACTAAAATATTCACGCACGTTAGTATTGAATACACACCTTACGATGCGACCGATACTTCTCCACGGCGTATTACACGGCCTTCCTAGTTGGAATCTTGCGATACATTTCTATGTACCAGAGGCAATTTTTAGCATGGCGGCGAATGGCAGTGAGAGAGACAGATGCAAGGGATTTTGGGAATATCTTCTCGAGGTCTTATAAGTGCAGTCGCGATTATTTCGTGCATGGCATTTTTATTCTCCCCAGAACATTTTGATGGAGATGAGGTCGCAATGGATATTACGGTAAAAGGATGAGGGTGCTGGCAGCAGTGATAGTCTTTTCCAAAAGCCAGTTTCGGCTGTGAAATCAAATTGGTTTTGGATGACATTGCGAGCGCAGCAGAACCCTAATACCTTGAAGGTGTCGTAGCCATTTGATAATGCGCAGCGTGTTGGTAATTGCGACTGATTCGTACTTTAGTTGGTGTTGGAAACGTGCAAAAGACGTGCTTATTGCGTGCAGTGCGACGGAAGCGTTAAAACGGCGAATTCGATTTTGCAGGAACGGCGATAAATATTATTTTTTCATTTTCAAATTTGGCCACCAAAATAACGTTACAGGTTATAGGTGATGCGCACCATAGTGGATTACGTCCCAGGTGCCATGGATTAGATCTCCCTCAACAACCGCAGGGAACAACAGGTCTTTGTAGGATAGCGGTGAGGGCTGTGTAGGATGTTTAGGGCACGAGATCCTACTCTTGGGTAAGAATGGCTAGCTGCATACTGCGTCGTTGGTAAAACCCGAACGTCGAATAAGTGCTGGGCACTATACGATGTCGGTGTGCATCTACTCGGACTACCTTCTACCACTCCTCGCTGACTCCTTTGACTGGATCAACACGACGAATGTCACGGGATAAACACCGGGCACGTGGAATCGGGTATCGAGTCCGGGGTGCAAACACGTCGCTGAAGTCGCAAAATGCCAGGAACCACTCTGATCACGCCAACACCACTGACGCACCGGGGTGGGGCCGATCATATCAAATTCAGGCAAGTCCGATTTGTGGCACAAGGAACTGCGCGCGGCGACCGAGGTCGGCAACTTAGAGGCTGACGTGAAGTAGCAGGAACTAGGTGGACGACGACCGATGACGGCATCCTCCTCACCCTAATTGTCTTAGCTGTTGCGTACACTTCATTTTGCACGTCGCGCTGCCTCCCGCAGCGCAAGCACCGGCGGGAATGCCCCTTCTATTTAATCTGGGCCTCACCATTAGATACTTTCTGCACAGGATAGGGAACCCGTTGTCCTTCTCTTTAAGGGTCTTCGTCGCTTGGTCTTTGATCCTCGAAGGCGCAAATTGAGAGGTGATCTGCATATTGCGTCTATCAAAGTGTTATAAACTCGAAGCTGCCTTGACGATTTAGTTTGTAACGGGTCTGATAGAGCGAAATGCGATGGTCTCGAGACGATACTGTAGAGCTAAAACCCATGAGCTAATGGTTTAGATGCAACATCTCCGTGTCACCTGAACACGGCGGGATGGAAGGATGAGCGAAACACTTTCCTGTGCACTGTGACATGCAGTCGGCGACGATTTGCACCACGTGGGCGTCATCTTTCTTCAGTGAATCGCGGGTGTTCTGTAGCACTGTGTCACCAGACCATGAGGACAATGACCAGATAGTCTTTTACAATTTTAGGCAATCGGTTATATAGCTTTCAGAATGTAATCGCCCCTTGCTTCCACCAGGACGACATCTATCTTTCTTTTAGCTGGTTCTTTCCCCGGGCTTAAACACCGGGCTTTACGGAAGACACTCGCATAGAGCACAAGGACCGGAAATCAAGCCCGAACGCACGTAGGGTAATATGGGCTCTCAAAATGGTGGCTGTGAATCCACACCAGCTGTCCCAGACATTTCATCTTTGTAAAGGGATAGTCCGTTCCATAACACTACCAGTATTAGGAATGGTAAAAAAGAATAGTATGTCAAATCTTCGTGTTACAGTATCGCTACATAGTAATATTGCTTAGATGACCCGAGGGTCTTCTCATTCGTTGATGTTGTGATTAAATCATACCCACCAGTCGCTGCTAGACGCAAGCAACAAGCAATTAGTAGACGTTGTCATAGATTTGGTAATGCTAAATTGATTGAGTGTAGCGTGAAAAAGATGATACATACAGTGCGCGTGTATGTCGAAGAACCTCTTCATGCAGACTAGGACGACATCGCCGAAAGACTAGTACATGCGGCCAATAGGTCCAGAGAATCTACGTGGAAATAGTCTCACTTCTACCTGGTACATGGTTAAGACGCGCACTCAACACCTAAATCCATGACCGAGTTGATCCGGCGAAAGCTAGTCAGCGCCAGCAAAGCTATAAACTAAGCAGACCCGGTCATGTAGCGACGCGAGTCTGACCGACAACGACCGATAGCGCTCAGGATCGCGAGGGAATACCAAGTGAGTGCGAAAGCTTGACGAGCAAATTACCACAATGAGGTATTAATACCGGCAGAACGACAAACCCCTACACGAACAGCACGACCATATCATACTTAAGAAGCAGATCAACCAGATGAAGACATCGATGCGTCACTCGATACCTAGTTCGACGAAGGGGATCAATTATGGCTGTTCTTGGCGAGGTGAAGCCTGGACTGAAGAAGAAGCTGGCTCACCGATGCTTGGCCCGTTCCGCATTGAGCGACAGAGGGAAATATTTGCGTCCCAGTTAGAGTCACCAGACCGGAGCGGGTATAGATTCTTTTCTTTCGTACACGTGTCAAGCTTAAACAAGGTCAAGGTCATAATCATGGACCTACAAGGAGATTGGTTACTGTAATCGATAAGACCGGCCGGTTCGATTATGATGAAAAACTCTTACCAGAGGACATTTGAAAGCCGCGGGACATACGAAGTAGAAGCAATCGTGGATGATGACTAACCACTCTCGACGAGCATCTGCAGGTTTCAGCAACGTTTCCTGATGAAGCGAAGAGGCTATGTGACACACTGACATGGACCAATATCTTATTTGTCGTGTAGAAATTTGTTTTACGATTATTTACAGCAGAAGAAGTGAGATTGTCGATTGAAGATGGTGCGGGTGGTGTATGATTACTTTACTACGCATCACTGTAACCAATAGCCTTATCTCTGCGCTGACAAGCAGGCAGTGATACTTAAGAAAGCAACTGCGTCAATATTGCGCAAGGTACATAGAAGAAAAGAGTTGAGCTACTCAAATATATTTCTGAAAGGAACGAATCGTCAAGTCTAGCTACTCGTGCGACGGAATAACAAACGAAAATAGATGTCGGTAAGTTCCACCACAAAATCGTCGGATCGCGAAGTAGAACGCGGAGTGATCGAGGAGGCGAAGATCTGCGTGTCACGAAAATTACTCATGAACGCATTCAGCTGGGCTCACAGCAGGAGGAGCGGGTTAGTTTACATCACCAACCTCGACTATATAATATACCACAACGCTCTCAGTAACACGCACCGGTACGAATGCAGGGAGCTCAGGATGATGTGTCCTGAAGCAATTGTTGTAGAGGTGCTCCGCCGGCCGAGTCCATCACCAAACGCGCCATGACTCAGAGGCATCCAACGCATTGATCTCATCAACCAGTCAGAACTTAAAGCCACACACGCGTAAGTTACGAGCGTGTAGTGAGGCACGATTGTTTCGAAATAAACCTCGGAGTCAAGAGCAGTAGCCAGACCGTCAGGCATCCGCGCGGAGACTGACCCGTTCAGAACACCTTTAGGGGTTTTACGACCAACTGGATGTCTCCATGACGAATGCAAGCGGAAAATTATTCCAAATAAATCGCAAATGGATGCTCAAGTCAGCAGTCGACGGGTTAAATCGAAATCCGGATACACACCATTAAGAGAGCTGGAATCGACAAGCCAATGACTTCTCTCCAACAGGGCGACGTATCCAGTGACTGAGACTGAACAGTACGGTACAATGCAAAAGACAAGAAAGTCAACCCTCCTCTGGACGAGATCGTAAGCACAACGATTCACCGCGCACCATAAGTCGACGGAAGATGGAAAGTAAGGCTCCAACAAGCTGATTAGTGTAGGGACCAAGAAATATGGGTGGACACACTCGCCAGTTAGTTTCGTATCCCGAACAGGGCAGTTGAGGTGTAG